ATTTCTATAAGGGGACGAATTCTATTGATTTTGAAAAATCTAAATAATAATGGAGGGGTTAAGAGGGGGTTAAAACTTAAAAAAAAATCATAAAATAAAACCGAAAATAATATCAACTTTACAGGTTCGAATCCCACCGTTGGCCGGAATTTTTTCATTTAATTTAATTATTTAAAATTAATTCTGATGCCTTGGTAGGATTCCCCACTCGACCATTCACTGTTGGGTTCTAATTAACAGTGCTGTTCCTAAAGTGGCGCTGGGAAACAGTAACAAAGCCTACATAGAACACGAGGCGAAATAACCTTAGCAGTTGAAGCCGATGACACACAAAAAAAAATATCAACTTTAAATTTGCATGAAAATTAAACTCTTCAATAGAACGAGGCCTATTCATTTTTAAAAATCTGATTAAAATTTGGGGATTAAGGAAATTAAAATTTAAAAAAATTCATAAATCAGAAACGAAAAACAATATTAACTTTAAATTTTCAGGAAAAATCAAGCTCTGCAATGGGACGAAGCCTATTAATTTAAAAATAAAATCTGATTAAAAAGGGGGAATTGAGGAGGGTTAAAATTAAAAAAATCATTAATCAAAAACAGAAAAAAATATGAACTTGAAATTTTTAGATAAAGAAAGATCTGCAATTAAAAAAATCTGGTTAAAAATGGAAAAGTTAAATGGGGTTAAAACTTTTAAAAAATCATACAATAAAAACTAAAAACAATATCAACTTGAAGCTTCTGGGAAAAGCTTTAAAATTGGACGAAGCTTATTGATTTTTTAAAAAAATCTGATCAAAAATAGGGGAGTTAAGGGGGCTTACATTTAAAAGAAAATCATAAATCAACAAGGAAAAGCAATATCAAGATGACATTTTTATTCAAAATCAAGCTGTATAAGGGGAGAAAGCTTATTGATTTTGAAAAATCTTATTGAAAATGGAGGGTTTAAGGGGGGATTGAAACTTGAAAAATCATAAAACAAAAACGAAAAACAATATCAACTTGAAATTTTCAGGAAAAATCAAGCTCAATAATGGGACGAAGTCTATAATTATTAAAAATGGGGGGTTAAAAGGGAGTTTGTTTTACTATGAAGAGTGTCATAAGAATGCAAAGCATTATTCATTCATTTAATATTAATTTGATAATGGGGTCATATCTCCCTATAGGCGAACCAAGCCTTTAAAAAATGCGCCACGGTAATACCTCAGAGGTGGTGTGGAAATGTACCAAGAATAACAGAACCACTTTAATTTAAAAATTTAAAAACAATTTTTGTATTTTTTTTTTTCGATTTTATAGCCTAGGTGTATGTATCTAATATGCCAGTATCAGTTTGTGTTTGAATTCTTATTCATGTGTGTTCTGTGCAGGCTTTGTTACTGTTTCCCAGCGCCATTTCAGGAACAGCACTGTTAATTAGAACCCAACAGTGAATGGTCGAGTGGGGAATCCTACTTATGCATTAGAATTATTATATAATTTTTTTTTTTATTTAAATTGTGTTAAATTAAGATAAATATTTGTCGTTTACCTGTAAAACATTAAAATTGCCCACCACTGGAAACAGTTCCTACGTAAGCTCTGAAAATTTTTACCACAGAGCTCACTGTGATCTCTACAAATTTTGGAGCGATGACAGATGTCAACATCCCATTACACATTTCTGAAATTTTCCATTTCTCACTCTCCTTTACTTTAAAAACGTAGCATAACATTAGTATAAATGTTAGTTCACATTACCTCTCGTAAGTCAGATATGGACTACGCCCAATGGTCAATAGCTCATTGAGCACGTCGTGTATAGGGTGCCACATCCTCTACGTTAGTTTTTTAAATAAATACGGAATCTTTGGTGATTATTTGAATGCTGTGGAATAGAGACAACTTACAAAAGTACACGTTTTAAAATGATCAATGTTGATGCAGCAATTATTGTGTATACAACCCTGAACGCTGGTCCAAAACTATCAGAATTATTATCGACGTAAGAAAAATATATGAATTCCTAATATATTATTTTAGCCGATATGATGGTTTTGATTACATCTAATATCATAAAACATTTATTTATTTTAATAGAAATATGGGTAATGTTTTCGTTATTGATAGAGACGAAAATTTCAGACACACTGTACATTTTTCATTCATAACTTATCTACAAACATAAAGTCTCCCACTTGCAAGAGAAAAATAACAAAATTAAATCAAAGTTCAGTATTTTGAATTCAATAAGATCTTTAATATTATTTATAAATGTATATAATATTAACTCTTCATGCTGCAGTAAAAATCCTGAATAGATTTTGTTTAGTCGATAATATTAAATTTAGTTTTAATTAGGTATTTTAAAAATGTACATAGGTACTTTAGTTATAATTACATTAATTGAGTTAACTAAAAAGTTTTTTAAATTGTATTATTAAAGATCAAAAATAAAAGAAACTGAAAATATGTGTTCCTTTTTTTCACTTATGAAAGAAGTACTGAAATTTGATTTAAATAAATATACAGCCTACAATTGTGACAAAATCTCGCAGATTTTTTCTCTAAATCGCTTTTTCTGATTCAGCATAAATGAAGAATTTTTCCAAAAAATGTAAACCTATGTCTTTATAAACATTTTACTCATTACAATAATATAAAACGTATAATAATAATACATATTTATACTTTTTAAAAATCTTGAACATATATAGTTTTTAAAGTTATTCCAGGGATTCATACACCAATCTTAAAATTTAATATTTTTCTGCCTTCGGCCTCTATTGCTATGAAAATAATTTCAAGCAATAAAAATTACCTTACCTTGTTCAAGTTCATTAATCAGACGGTTTTTCCTAATTATTAATTCATTTTCGCAAAAAGGGTAGGTTTAAATTGTATTTTGATTCAGACCGTAAAATATAAGTATTTCATAAATGGCATAGAAAATTTACTTTGAAAAAAAAATGTCTTTATACATTAATGTGCGCTAGAAAGACACATGTAAATATACCTTTTAGGTGTAAGAGTGATGAATATTTAATATTTAATTGATACAGAGAAAAAATTGCTATCTATTATTCAATATTAAGAAATCCTACAACGATATTTTTTAAATTTGTATCTCAAAGGTATAAAAAGACTTATATCAGATTTTGGAAGTTTTATTTTTCTAATAAAATGCTTATTTCAAATCTGCATTATGAGCTATGGTCTGATATCTTGGAATAGGACAGAGAAGAACTGAAAATTTTCTAACTAAAAATAAGACGATTAAATGAAACATGCTTGGATAAAATATTAATTACTCGTTTCCGAAATACAGGATGTTAAAGACGAAAATTCAATATTTATGACTATATTTTTTTATTTCTCAGTATAATATTACTAAATTTTGGTTTTTGTTGTCATAAAACAGCCAGAGTCACTCCTGACGAGCATGCAATGCATGCCTCGAATCTACATTTATCAGCAGAGGCATTTTAAAGTTCACTTATTGTTTTAACAAATGTAAAGAAACCGCGAATTTACTAAATATTGGGGACTCTACAAAAGTTTATTGGTTGTTCAATTTATTTCGATTTTTTGTTAGATTTTTTTTACTGTGTCCTAAAATTTTGAATTTGATGTGACTTAACATTATTAACCAAATTTGCAATATTTGGTTTGTGACTTACCGAGTGTTTCGTCATCTTTTGGCGAAATGATGCAACTAGGGTTGTAAATCTGTTTAGTACGGTAAATCCACAAGTGGAGAAAACCCTTCTTTCTAAAAAATGTGACTTAACACACATTACATCTGTGGTGCTGATATTAAACAACTTTTATTTTTTAATGTACGACAAGCCACCCAAAAAAAATTATCTGGATCCCAAAATGGAAAGTTCCCATTAGAAAAGACACAAAAAGAAAAACTTCTGAAACCTACACCGACTTCACCTCCATTAAATGTGGAGTATGTTTAAGAGGTATTAGTCATTGATGATCAAAAACCATAATATATATGATGAGAAAATAAAACTTTATATAATACAGTGTCCTAAACATTGATTTAGAATCAAATGTAATTTTAATGGAAGGAGATCTGAAATTTTGGAAAAATGCACAATATGTAAAAAAGAATAGAGATTAATGATAAAAACTAGAACTATCAAAAAGAGAATAAAATTTTGTAAACTATAGAGCAGGCCTGCACAACATACGGCCCGCCATTGTCGTTTTCGTGGCCCGTTGGTCGTTGACCACTTTGGCCTGCCTACGTCAAACTACACATTTTTCAGTAATAAAATTGCATTTGGGCATCAGTTGCCGTTTTTAGGACATGAAAACCTTTTTTTTAAAGATCGACCAGCAGGAGTTGCAGAAGGATTTGTTTTATAGAATTATGAGGCGAGGACCTTTTTTTTAGAATTTGAACAGATCACTATAAGCTCAGGCCTCTCTGGCTCTCGTTGCAGGCCTGATATAGAGTATTCTTAACGTCGATTTAGAATAAAATTTAGATTAAGGGAGAGAAATAAAAACAAATAAAAATTTGGAAAAATGCCCGATGGGCAAAAAAGAATAGAGATAAAAAACAGAAACAAGAACTATCGAAAAGAGAATTAAATAATTTATATTCTTATTATCGATTTTGAATGAAATGTAATTTTTATTTAAGGAAGAGACAAAAAACAAGTGAAAATTTAGAAAAAAACAGTTATGTAAAAACGAAAGGAGATAAAAAATTGAAACTAGAAATATTAAAAAGAGAATACAATTTTACACAATTTAAAATATTCTTAATATTGATTTAAGTTGAAATATAATTTTAATTTAAGGCAGATACATAAAAAACAAGTGAAAATTTAGAAAAATTCCTATTACGTAAAAAAAGAATAGACATAAAAAAATTGAAACTACAATTATCGAAAATAGAATACAATTTTACATAATATAGAGTATTCTTAATATTGATGTAGATTGAACTGTAATATTAATTTAAGGAAGTAAAAATTTGGAAAAATGCCCATTATGTAAAAACAAATAGAGATAAAACTAAAACAATCCAAAAGAGAATAAAATGTTATATAAAATTTTACGCCACTGTCCAAAAACTCATAAGGAGTATAATTTTTTTTGGTTTCTTTTAAATAGATCATGTACTCTGTTGGGAACTTACAAAGTCATTTTCTACTAGCAACTCATTTAGTAAATATAGTAATAAATAAATAAATTATGAATTTTCAAACTTTAACGCCCTGTATTTCGGAAACGAGTAACATTTTACTCAAGCATGTTTCGTTTTATAGTCTTATTTTTAATCAGAGAATCTTTAGATGTTCTATCTCCCATTTTTAATGATATGGCGCGTTCTAAGGGCTTGTAGATTTTAGTTGTAGCGGCGTACTACAACTGACGGTGGCCGTAGGATATCCCTATATCTCAGAAACTACGCATATTTTCCTGTGAATAGTATATTATGCAACGATCATGTAATAACCATTACATGAGAGTTGCATACGCTATTTTTTCTACACCCAATAAATAATCAAGAACTATAAATATTATATTTATATTTGTACTGAACACAATAACAGTAATTACTCGTATTTTTATAAAAAAATCTATAAAATTGTAATTACCATAGATTTTTGGGGCAAAATATTTTGTACTGCATTTTCTGCTTTCTCCGATATGTGTGGAGTCAATGGTAAGTCTTCTATATCGTTGATATCAGACATTTTGATAATATAATTATCGAAGTTTAGTTATCTACGAAAATTTAATAGGTACTGATTTTGACAACTAAAACAATTAGATAGGAACCTAGGGCAAACGTCAAATGCACAGCATGCTTGATTGAAAAATTATGAGTTTCTATTGATTAAAAATCTGTATCGTTATGAAAAATCTGTATCATAATGGGTATTTTTATGAAACGGATTATGGATTATTTAATATAAGTGCATAATTATAATACGGGTGTAGAAAAAAATCAATATTAAACAGATGAGTAGATAGTCAAAATTAGTTAAAATTTCGCAAATTTTACGATATTACTATTTCCATATTTTACCTTTTCTCTACAATGGCGATGATAAGAACTTAGACATAATCTTTAGTAATTTCTTTGTGATTTTTTTTCCAAAATTCTGCGCGTATAGTTTTTAAAATATAGTTGACACCTTTACCGTAAATATTTTAATTATCAATGCTATAACGATAAGGATCAATTTTCTTAAATGTCAATTTGGATGAAAATTATAATATTTTCTAATTATTCAACTTATGGCCAGTATTATAAAGGTTAAATAAAACTAAAGTTAGATACTTGCCAAGTAAATTTACTTCCCAAATAATTATCTAAATAAATAATGTTCCGTATTATTATCAATATGCCCCAAGAAAGTAACTATTAAATGAATAAAATGACATTTATCGGCTGAGGCATACATTTCATAATTATTATCATAGAGATGGCGAACTATTTTTTTAGTTGTTTTGCTATTTATATTAAAAATACTGACGATTTTGATGATCATTAGCATCTGACAATTTCCTTAGTAGTCCAATTAAATAACGAAAAAAAGGCCCTTCGAGCTTACATTAATTTGTAATTGGATGAAACAAAAAGGACCTTGTGTATTTTGATGTGATCTTTTCGAAAAAAATAAAAAAAAGACGTAGCAGTTTTTCAATTTTTTTTAAATTAGGAAAACCGGGTTTTCCGGAATTTTCCATTGTAAAAATGCTAATTATCTGGGCAAGTATTATTCCGATAGTGAAAATAAATGCACCATTCGAAAGAGGGGGCAAAAATAGTTCGGAAATTCATTGCACAGGTAGTTTTAATGGAGAATTTCTCGCCGCCAGAAGTGCTTTTACCAAAAAGTCATTTTTTCGTTTTTTTGATCAGAACCATGGACATGAAATTTGCGATGAATTTGTGGCGAAATTATAAATGTTAGACATATGTGCACATGAGAGAAATTGCGTATTTTTTTGAGATATATGCATGACAAAAATACGTATTTTCTAGTTACGTTCCGAACTTTTTGAAAAAAATTGCAAAACAATTTTTTCTTAATTTCTCGTACTTTTTTCTTAATTAACTCGAAAACTAATTATGTGAATAGAAAACTGTTTCCATCAGATGATAGAGAGAAAAAAAAAAGACACGAGAAACTGTGGCATATACATTTTTTCTAGCATCCACTGTTCTCTGAGCGCACGTGTGCAAAGATCGGTAATTCTCGCGAGATTTGAAGCTACTCGAATTTTCTGGCAATTGGGAGAGAAAGTAAGCTTGTTTCTCATTAAACTTACTGATTCTAATATATTTTCAGTTTGTAAAGTGTCCAAATTTCGGAAAAAATCGACAGTGTGCTTGTTTTTTCTTAAAAAAAAGGGAAAATGTTGGATTTAAGAAAAAAACCACTCGTTTTACGAGCAATTTTCTAAGCACAAAAAATGCGTAGTTTTCGGTTATATTTCGAATGTCATAGGTCGCATTGCAAATCTGCAATAGTTCACCCTTTGCAAGTGTCTGATGACATAATAAATACAGGCCAGCCATTGCAACCTGTAAACAAAAAAATGATAGCACTGTGATAGAATTTTTTTAATTTAGGAACGTACTTACTCAATAAATTGCTGAAGAAGTTCGAAAAGCCACGTGAACACAGAGCTTGCTGAACACGGTTATTAAAAATCTATGCCGATGAACGCTATCAAGCGATTCAATTTGTAAAAATATGACCGTTTGAAGTTTAAACTTGTCAGATAGCGAACGCCGAGACCATTACTATCCTTGATGCGACGCGTGCGGCTAATTTGGCGGTAATTCTATATTTTGCACAAAACTCAAGAAACGTCTTATAACAAGTCAGTAAAATACAAGTTAATAAATTTTAAGCCTAATAAATTTAGATATGTAAGAAATTTAAAACTGGAAATCGCAAAAAAAACCAAATTACAGTAATGTAGTGTATACACGAGTTTTGGATCCCGCGGAGCGCGTGTAATGGGACTTTTGTTGGGAGAATTCTACAACTTTAAACTTTGTATACACATTTAAAAGACATAAAATTGGGGTTTGCTTAATTTTAAGACCAAAAAACTAAAAATTGTCAATTATAGGCAACTTTTCTCAAAAATCGTGTTTTAGTGTTTAGTCACTCAATGAACAGTGGTCAAAAAAATAGATAAAATATATTTGCAGAATTTTCCGTAACGTAATCGTATTCTGGACACAATAGAATACTCAAAAAAAAAAGTTTTGAGCCATTGGGTGCATTTTTGGCATTTTTGTGCCACTTCAAACTTTCGAAAAAAAAATTATTTTTTTTTAAGGAAAAAAATGTATTTAATTGTTTGATATCTTAGCCAATTATGGTACGATGTCGGTGAAATTCACACACACATAATATTTCACATTTAAGAGTAAGCTTTGTAAGTGGCATTAAAAAAATTCAAATAGTTTGGCTGTTATAGGCAAACAATGAAATTAGGACCGCGGTACACTTTGCCCTTCCACCATATGCCCAATTTTGGGATTTCTCTTGCCCCCTTCTAGAAATCACTAGTCACATCCCTTAAGTTCAAAACGCTTTTTTGTTTTTTCAAATATCTTAATTTTTACCAATGTTATGAAGAATTTAGTGTTTGAACATTTAACAAATTCAATTTTTCGACCTTCGTCACCTCAAAATACTAAACAAATTTCAATCGTCCATACCGCGAGAACGGTGCATCGGATCAAAATTTCTCAAAAGACATAAAAATTAGCATTTTTCTTAAGCTTTCAAATGTCGTAAACTGCGTTTTAAAAATATCGATTTATTTCCGACATGCGCCTGCGCAAAATTGAAAAATTGACGAAATCCAAAATTTCGGCACTTTCGAAAAACTGCTACATTTTGTTTTGCCTTTTTTTGAGAAGATCACCTCAAAATACATAGAATCCATTTTGTTTCATCTAATTACAATTTAATGTAAGCTCAAAACCTGTAATTTAATTCGATTATAGATATATTAGATCATTTACTGCTGTGAATTAATTAACCAGAAAATGGAAAAAACGAGACAGAGGAAAGAATTATATCGAACAGGAGAAAGAGCCGTTATTGGATATTGTAAAAGATTTTAAAAATGTAATAGAAAACAAACTGACGGGTCGAGTGTAAAATTAAAGAAATCTCAAAAAAGTATAATGGAACAGCACAAACTGGAGAGAGATCAGCAGCGAAGCTTAAATTTCTTTATGAGTCCCTTAAAAAGAAATTTAAAAAAGACAAATTAAACGAGAAAGTTCGTAACAGTATAAATGATATATTTTGTTAAATTTAGAATAACTTACAGAGAGAATTATACAAAACCGGTGGTTCTTCTAAACCGACGCTGATACAGATTATAGATCCAGTTGTTGAGAAGGTAGGGTCTTTAATAGAGGAACCGCGAGAAGAAATAAGAAATAGTTACGACAGTAATACTCTACTGGATGAGATGGAAGAACAAAAGCTGGAGCTAATTTAAGATAATAAGAAAGAAGAAAGTAAAGCAAGAACAGTTTTAAAATGTGGCATTCCGTACCATAAAAAGAAAAAATTGAAAGTAGATGATGAGAAAGAAAAAAATCAAATTAGATATTTTTAAGATTCGGAAAGAAAAGGAAGAACCGAGCTCATGAGATATTTTAAAATAAAAAAAAACTAAGTTTAGAAATAAAAGAAAAGACTCTACAGCTTAAACAAGTGTATGGAAGTGATTTTAATTGAATAAAAAAAAATTTGATACTTTTTATTTTATGAAAAATAATTCAAATGTAACAGAATCGTTATTGAAACACATTTTGGATCACAGCGTTTCTAATAGCAAAATTATTTTTTATGCATTGGGCTTCTTCCATCGTTATTTTCAACATTTTCTTAGGCACCATTAAAATTATCTTCTAACTCTCTACAAATGTTATGTAGGCCAATTGTGGCTATTATAATTGGTATCGCTTAAACAACTGACACACGAAGTCCTAAAGATAAACATGGAAATCTTCTTTTTGACACTCTGAATGTTCTTTTAATGGCATTTCTTGTTCGTATATGGGCATTGTTGTATTTTCTTTCAGCCTCTGTCCTAGGATTAGACAAAGGGGTTAAAAGATATCTCCTACAAGGATAGCCACCGTCACCTAACAAATATGTATTGGCAAATTTATTTTCAAATTTAGCCTTGATTAAGGAGTCATCAAATACCTATATTGCTGTCACGGAAAGAACCACATCCATAATTTTTAAAACTGCATTACATACAGCTTGAATATTCAATGAAAAATAGCCTTTACGATTTCTAAATACTTCCCTGCTATTACCACCAGGAGACTGTATTCGAATGTGACTTCCATCTATGGCACCAAGACATTAGACATATTCTAAAACTTTGAACATGTTCTGTTCCTGGTTTGGATTGTGTTTGGCATGGTAATAAATCTTTGCCTAAGTCTTGATAAGACATGACTTGCTTTATGTACCTACGATCCTGCCTAAGGTAGCCTTTGTTACATTAAAGTGATCGCCTACAATAAGTTAAAAGTGCCACAAGCATAAAATCTTAAAGCAATAAGCAACTGATTCATAAGCGAAATAGAATTATTTCTTACTGTAATCGGTTTTATATTATTTTCAATCATGGTTAGTACATACTAAACAGTTCTTTTGGATAATCTAAACCTTATTTTAAATTCTTCTTCATTATGCAATTCAATTCAAAGGACCTTGGTTGTGGTCTAAAAACTCTAGGTCGTCTTGTCTTGGCTTAGCTTGTATGGCTTCTTCTTCATCAGTTGATATGGTAGACAAAGTATTTATTATCTGATACTGACTCAACAAAAGATACTAAATATACAGACATGATCTCAAATGTAATTTAACTGTTAACAGTTATTTTTTGATAAATACAAAATTTAAGGTGACATCCGTCACACATTTTGCTGTCAGTTGAACCCTCAAAAAAAATTTACATGACAGAAAATCATAGAGTATTTTATTTTGTAGTTTTACTAAGCAAGTAAATTTAACCATGATTTATAATACGAAAATCTATCAAGTTAAATACTATGGGAGAGTAAATTTTACTTAACAAGTAAAATGTTTTATAATAACGGCCATTATTGATTTAGTTATTCTAATTCTTAAAAAGACTGCGTTTCATTCATGAATATTTTAATTCATAGGCAATATAGTATTTTCTCTAAATTAAAAATGCAGTATTTTATAATAACTATACTTAATATTTTTTTAAAAAAGAGTTTTTGTAGTAAATTTACCTTTTCATCATTATATAGATTTGAAGCAAGCACATTTTAAGAAACAATAAATATATTCCATAAAAGGACACAATGAAGATTTCTTAATGACCTATAGGCTTTTTTTATGGCCAAAATTTTCAATAATTATTTAACTAGTTCAACTACAGAGTTTATAAAAATTTTTAATAAACAACGTGTATTTTAGGTAGTAATATTACCGGTACCATTATCTTATTGAGAATGTAAAATCTAATAGACTTTTCTCTAAAAAATTTTTATACAAATACATTTAGCAAAAAGATGAATAGCACTTTACATTTTTATATTTACAGGTTTTTATATGGAGTTCAAAATAAATATATAGTGGTCCAAAACCAATCCCAAAATAAAAATCATAAAACAAATTCCTAAACTTTATTCATTGTTGTATTGTTAGTAATATGTAGCGGTGGGCAAAATAATCGATTATTATATATTTTTTTAATCGACAATCCTATAATCAAATAATCGATTATATTCAGTCAATCGATTATTTTAGATCAATCGATGATTTTCGATCAATCGATTATTCTTAATGAATTGTTTTAGATTAATCGATTACTTTCGATTAATCGATTATTATCGATTATTCTATTATTTTTAATATATCGATTAATCGATTACTTACGTTTATTCGACTATTTTTGATTAATCGATTATTTCCGATTATTAGAGTATTTTTAAAAATTCGATTATTTACGATTAATCAATTATTTTTAATTTATCGGTTAATCGATTACTTTCGTTTATTCGAATATTTTCGATTATTCGATTATTTTTGATGAATCGAATATTTTTGATTTATCGACTATTTTATTTTATATTAATAGATTTTTTTCGATTAATCGATTATTTCCGATTATTAGATTATTTTTAAATATTCGATTAATCAATTACTTTCGATTAATCGAATAATTTTAATTAATCGATTATTTTCGATTAATCGATTATTATCGATTAATTATTAATTTTCGATTATTTGATAATTTTCGATAGATCGATTATTTTCGATTACTCGATTATTTTGGATTGATCGAATATTTTAGATTAATCGACTATTTTCGATTAATCGATTATTTTGGATTAATCGATTATTTTCGATAAATCGAATATTTTTGATTTATCGGTTATTATCGATTAATTGATAATTTTCGATTATTTGATAATTTTCGATGAATCGATTATTTTCGATCACTAGATTATTTTCAATTGATCCATTATTTTCGATTAATCGATTATTTTCGATTAATCGATTATATTCGATTAATCTATTATTTTCGATTAATCGATTATTTTCGATCACTCGATTATTTTCGATTGATCCATTATTTTCGATTAATCGATTATTTTAAATAATCGATAATCGATTATTTATTTTGGTAATGGCCCAGCCCTAGTAATGTGTATTACTAAAAACGGAAGATTGTTTAATGTTGCAAACATGTTTTGGACCACTCTACTTTAATTTTAAAAAATACTTCATAATAACATCATAAAGATATAAGATATGTTCCCCAAACTTTCACTTTTTTATAAAATCTATACAATTTTATCATTAGGAAGATATTTGTGCGACCAATTTCATAAAATTCTTCTTGCTGAATCCCACCGTTTTGCAAGAATTGTCAAAATATTACACTTCTTGATTTGCAAGCTTTCAAACTATTTCGAGAAAAACATTCAGATCCTTATGGTATTTGTAGATAAGTGACAACGCCACCAACTCATCCTTTGAAGTATACAGGATGTCCCATTAGTGCGTAAGTGTTCAATATTTCAATTTGTGTTATAGAGACGCAAACAAATTTGAAATAAAAGTTCATGGATTTGAAAAATACATATTTTAAAAATATTTTTGGATATACAGGGTGTTGCGTTTTTGCCGTTAAAACTATTACACGGTTGTCAAGCAATTAATTATTTTATCAAATTTTGGTAGATTTACAATGATTTCAAAACTGATACAGACCTATAAGATACTAAGCTAACATATATACAGGGTGTCCCATTAGTGCGTAATTGATCTATAGCTGTTTTATTATTAGAAATATGAAAAAAAAAGTAATGTAAAAGTTGTATGGCCTTATTTAAGAAGTATTCTTAAATATACAGGGTGGTCCTCAGGGCTTACTAATCCAATACTTTTTTAAAGCAAAAAATTGTGCAGGTTGTTTTATATGTTTGATTATTTTCACATCATCGAACAATTTGCTATGTTGTATATAGGGTGTGTCAAAACGCGAGATTACGATTTTCCCAATGAAATAAATAATTGGTGGTAAAACATAAAGGGTATTCAACTTAAATAATTAAAGAAATCGTAACCTCGCCTTTTGACACACCCTATATAAAACATATTAAATAAATAAAGTCTGTTAAAATTGTTTCACCTGCTTTTTGCTTTGAAAAGTATAGGTTTGTTCAGCCCCTCGTTTATGGACCACCCAGTATATTTAAAAACAATTATTAAATCATGACATACAACTTTTATATTAATTTTTTTTTGTATTTCTAATAATAAGAGCTATCGATCAATTATGCACTGATAGGACACCCTGTACAAGTGTTATTGGCTAACAAGTTAAAATATTTGGATAGGTAAATTTATATTTAATGTTAAAATAATATACACGGTGTTATATTTAAAAAAATTAGTAAAATTAAAATTAACCATATTTAACCCTTTCGACCTCCTTGGGCTATAAATGTCCCGACGAGAATTTAAAATTTCTATTTGGTATAAATATGACTCAATTTTAATGTTGTTATTTGATTAATGGTATTCTTTAAGCATATTCTTGAAAATAGAGATGTTCTGGCAACGTGGCTTGTTGTTTACCGGTTATTTGTTCACTTGTTTACAAGCGTGCTAGACGTATTTGAGCTTTTTTGCGTTGTTTGTTATTTCCAGTTCTTTCATAAAAATTTTAACTGGTGATTAAATTTAAACATAAATTTATTATAAACATAATATCTATTCTCAAAATTTATTTCAAAAACCAAGTAAAAAACATGCCATTTTCTACTGGGACAAAAATATCCCAGTGGTATTTACGAGTGGGACGTATAAAACCCAGTGGTTTTATTGTTACAGTATGTCGAAGAGAGCATTACCAGAAGAAAAATAAAATTATTGGGCAAATGTTTCTGAAGATGAAGATATAGATGATGATAGAGATAAAGATTATGAAACCGAAACAGAATCTTCCAAATTAGTGAAGATGACGGAGAATCTTTAGATAGTGAAAGAGAATCTTCAGATAGTGAAAGAGAATGTAGAAACGATGATCGCACAGAAAATGAAGACCAAAATCAAGAAATGTAAGAAAACAATAAAACTCAAGATGAAGCCATTGTGTGGTCAAGCCTCTCTAATGACTTTCTACCAAGGTTCAGCATTCCTGCAAAAAATACGTGTGAATTAGACAAAGGATTTACAAGATCTTTGACACGATTTGAGGTGTTCAAAAAATTGTTTCTTCCCAGTATATTCATCTTTATTTCTGAATTCACAAATAAAAGGCTGACAATATTAGAAAAACAGAAAAAGAAATGCATTACTAAAACCGATGTAGGTGAAATTGCAATTGTTTTAGGATCTTCCCTAGTAATAAGTTATAACAGATTGCCAGGTCTTAGATATTATTGGTCTACACATCCTTCAGTAGGAAATACACGAATAGAAAATAGTATTTCTAGAAATAGATTTACATTGTTATTATTATGTGGATGAACTAGTGAACTGTCTAAAGTCAACATTCCAAAAATGTCAAGCAGATTCTTCGAGGCAAAGTATTGATGAAAGTATAGTACAATTTAAAGGCCGTTCTGAACTAGAGCAATATTTACCAATGATTATACCTATGACATAAATATTTATGCTGATAAGGAAGATCAGCAATAAGAAGAAACTCTTGGCGAAAGTACGATAAAGTCAACAGATGTCGTATTATGTTTCGACAGATTTTTTACATCTGTAAAATATTATTCCATTTCCATTAGAAAAAATATGCCAAAGATTACAAAAAAATTAAACAGAGGAGAGTCCGAAATACTTGGAAATAAGTATGGTACCATTTGTGTCAAATGGCAAGACACCAAAGAAGTTACAGCAACTGCCACGGAAAAACTTGACTGTTGTTCAACACAGAGGCAAAGATGGCATACAAAAAGATATAGAATGTCCAGAAGCAATAAAATTTTATAATAATTTCTTGGGAGGAGTGGATTTAGCTGACCAAATGTTAGGCTTATATGACATGGTCCGCAAGACCAGTAAGTAGTGGAAAAAAGTTTTTTTTAGGTTACTAATGGTTGCCGCAGTCAATAGCTGGATAATACACTGGCGAGCAAAAAATTGAGGTCACTTCAGAAATTGCGAATAATTTTAGCGTTAATAATGATAAGGACATAATAGTATTGGTAGGCGTGGAAGCAATTGTTATCCGAGACTTAACAGCTGTCATTTGATTTATTAGAATTTATTATTGTACGACTTTTATGAAAAATGGCCTTTACGCTAATTGAACATTCATATTTCCCTTGCCTGTTTTCCAGTTTACTGTTGATTCTTTGTGTAAAACCTAACGATTGCAAAGTGTAGTGATTTAACAGGCCCATAATGCTTTTAGATCCGATTGTTGTGGCAACAATTGTTGCGCTGTTACAAGATGGTCGGGGGCAACGTGAAACTGCAAGAATTGTTGGTGCTAGTCTTTGTGGTGTACCAGCGCTTTCTGGAGACTAGCCTGATCACTAGAAGACCAGGGCCCGGGCGAAAAAGAGTTACCACTCAACGAGATGACCGTTTTTTGGTGTCCACAAGTGTGCGAAATAGGACAGTTACTGCGTTTTCACTGCGAAATCAATTGGAAAAAGTGAGAAATGTCAACGTTAGTGAATGGATCGTTAAAAGAAGACTTCATGCTGCTGGACTGTCATGCAGAAGAATGGCTACAGGCCCCCGTTGCAACGCCAGCATAGGACTGCAAGATTGACATTTGCCAGAGATCACGTTCGTTGGAATGATGATGACTGGAGCTGGGTATTGTTCTCAGATGAGTCGTCTTTTTGCCTCACTGGGTCAGATGAACTTTGCATTGACGAGCGTTTTCCATTTGACAGTGGGTCAGTTATGGTTTGGGCGGGAATCACTGCACAAGCTCGTACAGAGTTGTTCTTCATAGAAAATGGCTCCCTAACCTCTCACAGGTACATTACGGAGGTGCTAGAAGACCAAGTTATGCCTTTCATGGTGACTATGGGGGAACGTGGCATTTTTATGCAAGATAATGCGAGACCACATACAGCCAGAATTGTCAATGAGTATCTGGATGAGGTAGAAATTAGGCGGTTTGACTGGCTAGCCCGCAGCCCAGACATGAATCCCATTGAACATGCCTGGGACGAGTTGGGACGACGGATCCGCAGACACACACCAGCACCAAGAACTGCCCAGGAGCTGAGAAGATTGCTGTTGCAGGAATGGGATAACATCGACCAGCATGTGACCCGCAACTTAATTTAAAGTATGCCGCGCCGACTTCAAGCAGTCATCATTGCAAGAGGAGGGAATACACGTTATTAGTGTCAAGTTTTTTCATTTTGTTCGTTTTATATTTTCCCTAATAACAAAAGGTCGAATTTCGCCCAAAATGTTAATTTGTTGCTTTTTCAGAATAAATCATGAAATCCAAGAAAAAACACATTTCTGTTTAGTATAGAGTATCACATTCAGCTCACAAAAGTACATGCAATGATGTAGAGTTTGCGAATACGATCTGAAAACGTAAAATTTCAAAGAACATGAAAATTTTAAGGTGACCTCAATTTTTTGCTCGCCAGTGTATATAATGAACTTTACAGACAAAAAATACCATTTAAAGATTTTGAAATCTAACTTGCCGAAGAGATGATTGATTACTTTTGGTAAAGAAAAATCAAAAGGACACGTTCGAAAAAGATCCATTGGTAGACCATAAAAAAATCAAGACATATGCTAAATATTGAGACGCATCTACTAGGTAAAACTCGCCGACGTTGTGCAAGGTGTTCTCTACAAAAAATAGAAAAAATAACAACGACTCTATGCAGGATGTACCAATTGCCCCTGTGCAAAAATTGATTTACACCGTACCATACCTGAAAATAATTATTTCAAAAACTGTTTCTATTTACCGATGGGATGTACATATATGTCCCATTTAATATTACTAGTGGGACATATACGTCCCACTTGTCAATGTCAAAAATCAAAATTTTTTAAACTGTACGTGTTCTGGAAAATATATTTCTAAAACATATTTATCATTTTTTTTTGTTTTAAATCTTGTAATATTGAAAATAAAAAAGTGGGGCTGAAAGGGTCTAAGACATGTTCCAAAATACTCTGTATAAAATAGAGCAGTTCTATCACCACTATTCGTTAGCTTAGTCTGTATTTAAAACAAATTTGAAATCATTGTAAACTTACTCATTCTCTAATTTCATAAAACAAGTATTTGCTTGACAACTCTGTAATATTTGTTAAAAAAATTCTAGGGTTGAATACAGTATTACCAAATTGTTCTAAAACTGAAATAAAATAAAAAATGTTCTATTTAAAAAATGTACATTTTTATTTGCTAGGCATAAATGTAACACCCTGTATATCTAAAAATATTGAACAATTACGCACTAATGGGAGACCCTGTATAATTTAAAATAATTTTTTAAGGAATTACCTAGTTTTTATGGAATAATAAATAAAAAGTATTTAAAATACCTACCTAAAAATACTTTGACCTATAAAAGTGATTAATTATCATTTCGTGTATTTGCAAAACATTTTGAATACTTGGAAACCAAAAAGTGTCATAAAGATATAACAAGAATAGACTAATAAGTCTAATATAAATATATAAGCTAAAAACTAAAATATATTTTGCTTTTAAATCTTACAATAACAAGTCAAGTATAATAAATTATTTGAGTTTTTACAGTCCCGATTTTTTACTAGTGTAAACTATGTTTTTTTATATAGGTGATGGCTTTTTTCAATACAAAAGAAAAATTATAAATATTCTGAATTATTATCTACATCTAAAGATAATACGATTATAACCCAAAACACCATAATTTAACTTCAAAATAAACATTACAATTTCAAATATTGGGGTTTCCTAAACAAATATTTACACTTCCCCAAAAAAATGCAAGTATATTTACAAAAAAGACTTACGGTATCTTTTAAATCAATTTATCTAAAATGTTTGTATTTTATCCTCATTTTAATACAATATAATAAATAAAAGTATATTTTTCTAAAGTACTAAGTAAAAAAAATACCGTAAAGTAATAACAAGAGTAACAATAATTAACAAGTATAAAGAATTTAATTGGGAAAATTATATCAGTAGGTACTAACAACATTATACAGTAAAGAAAAGTAAAAAATCGGAACCACAAGAAACATTTTCATAAAATTTGACAAAAATCCAACAGCGAAAAATGTTCCCAAAACGACACAGCATTTTCTTATCCACAAAATATCACGCAATGGTATTCGACATACCAGATCTGTACAGGAAAAGCAAAAACTGACAAAATCTAGAAAGAATTAATAAAGTTCGACATCATTTTTATATATTCAGCAGCTACATGTTCAAGAATTTTAATAAGAAAAAAATATCGAACTTTCAATTCAATACACAAGTTTGTCTTTATTTAAAAAATACGCTTTTCTTGCACAGATCCGTAGCTGCCCAAACCGAAGCATGGCCCAAAATTGATGCTGTAAAAAATGTCCTTAGTTGGTAAAATGTGTAAAACGTTTTGAAAATAGTTTGTTTTTTTTGTTCTAGCTTGAAATCCATGCGCGTCCACCGACGCTTAGCCTATACTATGTCAACAATTTGAAGAACATAATGGCCAGGGAGATGTTGATGAAAAGGACTACAAGGACCAACTGCTGGCGCGAAAACCAGTCCTGAAAATTTTTGAAAAATTAGTAAATTCATTAATTACATGCGCATGATTTTAAAAATAGGGCGACTCGTTACAAAAGCCATTTATTCTTAAATATGTACCTACTTAAGCTTTAGATGATTATAGCACTTATAGTAAATATATCAAAATAAGAAATTGTTAATATTTTTATTCAAAACTTTTGCAACAATTAGTATCCTAATATTAATTTTAATATTTTTTTAATTAATTCTTTTGAAATAACTCCGCACAAATCTTATGGTAATTGGCTCCCGGTCAAATTGGCTGAAATTTGGATATGTTGTTCGTTTCTGCATCCTGAACAAAAGTCTTAATGGGGACAAAGCTCAATTTTGCCTATTTTGGCTCCTACGGAGCTCCAAAGCTCCACGGATTGACCATTATTTACTACTTAAAAAGGCAATCTCTTCGAAAGTTTAGTATTAGCTGCGTTAAAAAAGAAGTACCTTTTTGTTTTCGGGGTCAGTGCATTCAAATCCAATGCCAATATAATAATATTATTGACAGTTGACAGCCGTCAACTAGTTGTCAAACAACAAGCAATAATTTCGATATTGACAGTTGACAGCTGTCAACTAACTGACAAACAGTATGTGACAATCAAAATTGACAAAATTCAGGTGTAAATAGATGTCCTCGAGGTTGTCGAGTTCAAAAATGATGTCAAAAAGACGATATTGACAGTGACAAGCTGTCAACTAACTGTCAAACAGCATGTGACAATCAAAATTAATAAAATCCACATGTAAACGTATGTTTTTGAGATCGTTAAATTCAAAATTGTAGGTAAGAAAAACGATATTTTAAAAACAAGTAAAGCATGCTTGCTGTCACCTCATTGTTCCTCTATCTTGACACATTATCTTGCACAGTCAAATATTTAATTAACGATAGTACTCAACTGTCAATATCGTCTTTTTGGCATCAGATTACAATTAGGCAACCTTAAAGACATATGCTTACATCTCAATTTTATCAATTTCAATTGTTGCATACTGTTTGACAGTTAGTTGACAGCTGTCAACTGTCAATATCCAGTTGTTAACATCAGTTTTGAACTTATCAACCTAAAAAACAGATATGTACATGTGGATATAATCAATTTTGATTAATGCTTGTGGCTTGACAGTTATTTGACAGCTGTAAAATGTAAATATCGATTTTTTACCATCAGTTCTGAACTCAGCAATCGAAGACATATATGTACATATAGATTTTATCAATTTTAATTGTCACATGCTGTTTGACAGTTAGTTGACAGCTGTTATCTGTCAATATCATCTTTTTGACATCAGTTTTGAACTCAACAACCTTGAAGACATCTATTTACTCCTGAATTTTGTCAATTTTAATTGTCACATACTGTTTGACAGTTAGTTGACAGCTGTCAACTGTTAATATCGAGTTGTTAAAATCAGTTTTGAATTCAGCGGCCTCAAAAACAGATATTTACATGTGGGTTTTTAATTTTGATTATTGCTTGTTGTTTGACAGCTAGTTGACAGTTGTCAACTGTCAATATTATTATATTGGCATTGAATTTAAAATATAAGAAGGTACTTCTTTTTTAACCCAGCAAATACTAAACTTTCGAGGAGATTGCCTTTTTTGGTAGTAAATAATGGTTAATCCGTGGAGCTTAGGAGCTCCGTAGGAGCCAAAATATGCAAAATTGAGCTTTGTGCCCATTGAGACTTTTGCTCAGGATGCCGAAACGAACAACATATCCAAATTTCAGCCAATTTGACCGGGAGCCAATTTCCATAAAATTTGTGCGGGTATTCTTTTGTAAAAAAACATATTGAATTTATTTCTTAATTATTTTTAGTTCCATTTTAGTGTGGCAAATTATTATAAGCGTATTGTCCGGTGCTATAATCACCTTCAATAATGAAAAACACTGAATATATTGAATTTGTCGAAAAAATTTATTCATACAGGAAATATAAAAAATAGATTTTTGACCGAGTGCCAAAGACTACACTAGATTCAAAATGAACCACCGTGTTACCTATTTATCTTAGTAACTGATAACTTAAAATACTTAAAACGCTTTTAAATGATATACTTTTGCGTCATAACCTGTAAAAATATTTCATGCATAAAATTAATGCAAATCGTCAAATCTACACATTTAAGCTAATTTCAGGTGCACCTAAAGTCATTATTGATGACTAATCAAAAAAATATTGAACAAAAATTATATTTTATCAAAGGAATTAGATACTTTATTATGTATAAAAATAAAAGAAGTTTAATTGATTTTCTTTGTTAAATTTAAACAGAACAATACTTTAAAGTTACGATAATAAATATGGCGCGTGATTTTTTTTTAAGTTACACTACCGTTTGAAAAATACGGGTCTAATAAACTTGAGATTGTGATATGCACATATTTCGATTTTTTCTTACTATACGGAGAATGGTCGCACTGCGCAGCTTACTGAGTGCCTTTTAAAAGGAGATAGAAAACTCCTCCACTTATAACGTGTTGCCTACATCTTGGCGCAATAGTTTTAGTGGTTATGTTATAATATTTACCCAAAGTCAGTCCCCAAAGATATTATTTACGAACCTACACTTTACAAAACCATTAACCAATAATCAATATCTTAAAAACCTTGCTTTTCATGGTGATTTTATGTCAAATAATTTCATTTGTAAGTAACAGTAACTACTTTAATTATGTTGCTATTGTTGTATTCTAAATGCTTTTTAATTTTCAGGTTTCCTAGAAATTTCGAGCACTTAACTTGAACAGTGTTTACAAACCATTAATCAAATTGTTTAGAAATTATTTTTAGCTAAACTCTGTTATGTCTGTTCTCAGCATTTTGAGAAAAATGCTTATTGCTCTTATGTAAAAAGGTATGTGATCAATCAGGAAACAATTCTTTGTAGAAGGCAAATACCAAGAACATTAAAGCATTTACTTCAATAGATAGGATGTTACGTTTTAAATAATAAACGTTTTATAAGGACAAAATGTTACTTTTACAAAGTTACGTTATTAAAACATATTTTGCACCACGTTAAATTTCTACCCCTTACCTGGGTCTCATTGTAAAAAACCTTATAATAAGAATTCTTACAAGCCTCAGGCCTAGCTCAGATCAAAATAGGTCAGTGGGATTCGTTTAGAATTTACCTTCAAGTCAATGACAAAGTCTTTAATTAAAAAGACTTAAAAGATTTCAATGAAATTAATTTTGGGCGCCATACTTTTAGATGTAAAATAAAAGCAAATTTGTCATCAACTTGTCGGTTGAAAGTAAAAAAAAAGAGACTAAAATTTCAAAACAATTAATCGGCTTTAATTTAAATTTTGAATTTGACTGATTACATAATATAAAAGAAAATTAAATTAATTGATTTTAACACATTTTTCAGATTACGTTTTACCAATAAGTTTAAAATAAAAATTGACTAGTGACTCAAAAATTGTGTGTGTGGTCCTGGCCGACACTTATCTTGTGTTTCCGGATTTAACGGTCGAACTGGTCTGGTCCCTGTCTTAATGGTAGGTGAGCGGTGAGCCTACGATGACTTCAAACACTGCAGTTCCATACGCAACTCAGCCGAAGATATTCCGCAGCTCTAGTGGCAACTAGCCGACAATGATTCTGCAGTTCCAGGTTACCAAGGACAATTCCTTATTTTGTTCCAGATCCAGTTCCTTATTTTGGTACAGATCCAGAGCCAGTTCCTTATTTTATTCCAGATCCAGTTCCTTATTTTGGTACAGATCCAGAGCCAGTTCCTTAGTTATTCGGACACACAAAGCACTAAAATCAACCTGTCTACCTCGCTTCTAGATTGAAAAAGAAAATTCCAAAAGCCAACAGCTGACCAAATGTGGTAAAACGCGAATATTCCCCATCCATAAGTAAGCCAGGCGTGCGCACGACATCTGACCGTAATTATTGATTTTTAGAGAAAGCGCATCATTGGTAGAATGTCTCAGAGAGAGACAAATTCCCGTTTCAACATAATATATATAATTCCAAATACGAGGGGCGCTCAAAAAGTATTAGAATATATTGGAATAATAATGAACTAATTAAATATTGTAACTATTAAAAGGGAGTGACGATTACAACGTAACAAGGAGCAGTATTAAAATCAAACGAAATTATACAGGTTGTTTCAAAAAGGTATGTCATAAATTATACCACGTATTCTTGGGTCAAAAATAGAACGATTAAACCGTACTTACCTATATACAAAAGTGCACCCAAAAATAGTTACAGGGTGTATAAGATAAAAATTTAAATGAATTTTTTTAACATTGCTCTTAAACCGTTTGACATTTTTTCATGAAATTTTATATGACGTGTTGGAATACCATGACTAACAAAATCGAAGTAGAGGCAAAATATTTTTTTTTATTTTTGTAGGATTTTGGAGGGTGTCACCGCCCCTTTCTCTATTCAACTTTTTTGTAGTATAAAATTTAATTACAAATGAAACGCCACTGGAATCCAACATCCATTTGGAAACTTGTTTGTCTCTTAGTATTTGTTTGTAAAACGTTTAGTTTTGAAGATACAGCCTTTTGAAATGACAACTTAAAAATATTCAATGGAAATTCTACGTATGAACAATATCAAAATCGAGTTTATTTTTAAATTACAAACTAATTTCATCAAAATAAAACCATTTAATTTAACAGGTGTTCAAAATTACATTCTCCTCCTGTATACATTTACTACATAGTTTTAACAATGAAAATCGAATTTTGATATTTTTGCATACGTATAATTTACATTGAATATGTCATTTTAAGTGGCTGTATCGTCTAAACCAAACATTTTACAAACAAATACTAAGAGACAAAAAAAGTTTCCAAATAGATGTTGCATTTCAGTAGCGTTCGATTTTTAATAAAATTTTATATTACAAAAAAGTTGAATAGAGAAAGGGGCGGTGACACCCTCCAAAATCCTACAAAAATAAAAAAAAAATTTAGCCTCTACTTCG